GGGGTTGGGACTCTTTCCTTAAATGGAAAGGGAAGAGACCATTTCTTTTACAACTAACTGAAAATAAATCAAGTATTTATCTTAAAATGTTCATCTAAAATTAAATATGTGGATCAATTGATTCTTCAAAAGGTAAGGGTCAACAAAAAGATAATTCTCTCCGGTGATCCCCCTAGCAAAACTCAGTTCTTGACTCGTAGAGCATACTTACGAGTACTATTTTATAAATAGAAATGCTAAAAGGGTTTATCAAACTTTCTACTCTGCTCAAAGGGTTGGGGTGAAAGATAGTGGAATTGTTACCTTTATCAATGCAGCAGCATCCTCTTCTGCAGTCCCACCTATCTCTCCAATAAGAATGATAACGTCTTCAACCTCCCGCAACGAAGAAATAATATTTTCTTAACCTAGCTAAAATCACACATGATTAAGTAGTGAAGTGCAATTAGCAACGTCAAAAGTGTTACAACTTACAACACAAGCTTAAATTTACATCATTTCATCGAAAAAATTAATATATATAAAATTAAAATTAAAATAAAAACAATGGCTTCAGTTCAGGCCCAAATAAACAATAAGCACTCAGACCCAAAAAAAACAAAAACTAAAATAAGCACACTTAGATGACATATCGGATCCTCATTGAGTTAGATAATCTGTACAGTAGTCCGATAGTTGATGTCAAACAATTCAATTTCAATTAGCCTTAAATGCCTCTAGTAATCGGAGACAACGACACAGAGGAAAGGAAACCAATAACTATTTTCCACTCATTCTATTTCAGCTACAAGTAAAAGTTATCAACATCAACAAAACTAAACCCAATTGCAATTTTAGAATTCTGCCAAAAACCTCCTAAATTTAGATCCACATTTCTAATTAGTTAAGAAAAATTATAGATGCGAGGAACCAAGTTAGCAAAGCATAATTCGGTGTGGCAGCTGCTGGTTAATGCATTCCAGTAACTAGGCCAGTGTTATGATGGTGTCTGCACTTCCCCTTCACAGAACCTCCATGAACCATCTGCTTGCCTTCTTAGAACATACCAAATTTTATACGTGCTGCAATCAATCCAAGAAAAAAGAAGTCAAATATCAAATTTAACATTAAAAACATGCAAACCAAAATCTAATACTCAAATACAGATTATCCATTAAATACACATCATAAATTCAACTCACCTGTAATAACTTGGGTTATTTGGTTCAGATTCATTAACAAGTTCAGCTGCTTCCTCCAGGACAGCCTCGATTTCTGCTCTCTCTCCTCCAACTTCATCTGATAAAATTTCAGCTCGCAGGACAGACAATTGTAGCAAAACAAATCTCCAATAACAAGACCTCGCTTTTGCAGCATCAGCCAAAGCCTGCCACTGTGAACCATGCACGCGAAAGTAACCAAACAAATACGTAGAGTAAAGCAGTAAACTTAAATGAAGCATCAACGAAAAGAAAACATGTAAAAGTAAGTTACCCAACTTATTACAATAAAATGTTTGTGACATATCCAACTTATTCCATGTCATAAGTATTCATAGACTGAACTTTGTTAAGATTATACAATTTAAATAACAATATCAAATATTCAAAAACCTCCACAAATTATACCTGAACAAGCATTGACTGATCAAGGATTTCAAAGAGGCTATCAATTTCATGGCTAGGCCCCAGAGCTTCAGCTTTAATTGCTTGCCATTGCTTCACAAGGTCTTCAGCTTCTTCAATAGACATTAGCCTCCGGAACACAGCTGTTGAAGAAGACAGATATGAAATTTGTGGATTTTCAGCATCTGAGCAGGTCCTGACCTGCTTCATAAAAGTCACCAAAAACTTCTTAAGCCTGCCAGATAGTCCATTTCCCTTGATATAAGCAGGTACTAGACTAGAATCCACAGATGAATCAGTTGTCCAAGAAATGGAACTTGTGTGCGTATTTGGCTTACTAGGGCCCCATTTAGAAGCACTTCTCATCTTGTTTCCCTTCATGCCTGTTAACCTTAAGGAAGCAAAAACAATGCACCCCAGTACTGCCACAAAAGTGATCCTTCCCACCAAAACTCCTCTAGCAACCCAACCATTCCAAACTTTGTCATGGTGCGTGCCAAGATTCCTTTTCAATTGAACAGATGATGCACTAGCACTGCTTCCACTGCCAGTCTTGCCCAATATCAAGGGACTCTGAAGATCAGTTGGAGCCAGCTGCTTAACAGCTGCTCCAAGATGTTGAGAAGAGTTCATATGGGAAAGAGACTCATCGAAATCTCTCCGCTCTGACACGAGAGTAGTGGAAATTGGTCTGTGACTTAAAATAGGCAAATTCTGTGGAGGTACTTTGCTTTTCTTGCTCAAAGAAGTCCTCCTTTCACCACCAAAAAAGTTGGCCTGCAAGGGCATACATACATACATAAACCCTCTGGTAAAGTTAAAGCTATTATCCTTTAACAGTCCATTCTCGTGAATCTCACCAACGATGGAGGGCAATCTCGTGAGTCTGGAAACACAGCAAGGACAGCATCCTTCAGCCACATTTCCTGATCAAGTTCAGCAGGCAGTCCAACATGAGAAAATATTGACCTTTAAAACAAACATAAAGTTTGTGGTGAAATAAGTAGTGTGTGAAGTGGCACAATATAGAACACATTGAATTTTTCAGGACCTTCCCATTACCGATGTTTCAAAGTAAAGATAAGCATGCTCCTAATGACAGCTAAGATGAGAATTCCAGCACACAATAAGAGATATACCAATGTTTGATTTGCTCCACAAGTATGCTTAACTTCCTTCCCTGAGATTGGATTTCGTGCAGCAGAATTTGAATTTAATTCAAGCTTCTGAAGCTTTTCAACAACCATAGCCTCATTACCCTGGAAACCGAGGTATCACCAAGTATTCCATTGAGGAACATAAGAGAAGGATTGAATAAGAAAAAAGGAAAAATAAATTCATAGTTTCTGCAAGATATCCAAAACTATTCTAATGAAACAGCACAAGAAATAAAATTAGGAGGAAACTGAAAATTTTACCTGACCAAGAAGGAACAAGCAAAAAGTTTCCTCAAGTTTCAGATCAGTACCCTCTGATGCAATCAGACACTCGCATATAGTCTTTGCTTTGTCAATCTGCACAACCATATTATAAGGGCTGAAATTAACAAAATGGAACATGCAGCAACGCCCTCTGCCTCAAGTAAGAGAGAGAGAGAGAGAGAGAGAGAGAGAGAGAGAGAGAATTTGAAGATTACTATTTCAGCAGGCTTCATATTCAAAAATAATAATTTGGACATAGGAGCAGAAAGAATTTACCAATTCCTTTTGCTTGCTTGAAAACCCCAGGGAAATATGAGCTATCAACACCATGTAGAAACAATTAAAATCAATAACAACCCTTTGATTCTGTGATTCAAGTGATTTCTTATTCTTCCTTGTAATAGCTAAGTCATCCCATGGAAGAAGATCAACTATCTCCGAAGCCATTAGTCTATTAAATGCTTGGCTCAAGAAGCATGGCCAGTCTTGAACTCGACACGACGTTTCCACACCAAGCCCCTGTCTGACCAATTCACGCAAGGCTGCAATTGCTCCTCTTCTTCTTTCAGCATTCTCAGGTGAGTGAGGCATGCCTAGCAATTCCAATGTGCAAGCAGGTGCAAGCTCCTCCAAAGATTCTTCTATCTATAAAAAATGACCAACATGTGCTTACTTTAGGGCAAGTACAGGCATGGAATAAAGTTAAATGCTGTCTAACAGAAATTTGTCACATTTTAGAATTTTCAACCACCAGGTCAATCTGACTAAGAACAACTTAACTTCTCAACATTTGGTCCACCATACTTTGTTTTCTGATGTAGATATATGTTCTCTACTATGCAAAACAAACACTAAGATACAGTCAGATGATTTGAATTCTAATAGTTCCATTTCAGAGCGACAGACCAGATTCCAATTAGTGGATTGAACCAGTAAATGCCATGAAAAAATATCAGATTAAAAAAATTGACACAAAAGCACATAGAAGATGAGAGATCACCTGAGATAACAATGCTATTTTCCCAAGAGACTTTTTACTCCTTAGAAGACTCTGTGCACGAGCGAGAGCTTCAAATCCTTGGGACACCTTGTTCTTCTCAAAACCAATCTTTGCAGTTCCACACTTCAAGAAAGCACCTAGGATAAGAAAAGGAGGCATAACAATGCTGAAACAAAACGAACGGTACAATATCCTGACCTCTTTGCTGATATGTCTTACCTCCGCTAGTGCCATAGAAAGAAGAAGATCATGAACATACGGCTTAGCATCTGGATGCTGAACAGCTACACGACCAATATCTTGCACAAGCTTAAACCTCAATCACTAAGAACCATCTCACCGTCTTCTTCGCAAAAACCAATTAAAGAGACTAAATGCCAACCCGATGGGCATCTTCTTTTGCCCACGTTCAAACTGAGATCACTCCCAAGCAAGAGAACTACGCCGGAAATCTCCAACCATGGAGATTGAACTCCCACAACCCCCCAACCAAGCCACTCTAGCTTTTCTCTTCTCACACACAGTCTGGAAACTCCTCTGAGTTACTGGTCTCTTTGCTCAGCAAAACAGAGTACTTTACTCCCAGTTTTTCCTTAGCCCAGAACCACCAATCAGTCCACCCAGCCCCCAGCCTCCAAAACCTCCACCCCAACCAGATTTTCCACGTTTTCGCTCTTGTTTTTTCTCTTTCTTGTTGTGTTTGGCTTGATGGACATGGTTCCCTCGTCTCTTATGGCTCGAGCTTGGTAGCTTTGCTGCTGTGAATTTCTCTCTCTCTCTCTCTCCGACCATGGAGAATGAAGTGGAAGTTGCAGATCAGCTCACCATTCACCTTGAAAACAACCTGGACTTGGCAGAAGACAGGTGTGGCATTACTCTTGCCGGCTTCCTCATCACTGAGAAAGAACCTCAGATCGGTGGAGTGAAGAATGCCCTCCAACGTGAGTGGCGCAACATCGTACACTCGGACGATGTCAAGATTGCATGGGCTAGTCCCAATGTATATGTTATTACTGCTGCTTCTATTGTGGTGGCTAAGAAACTTATTGAGAAAGGTCCCTGGCATGTCAACGACGACGTTTTCTCCATCCAGCCATGGCCACAAAGCTTTGCACTTGCAGAAATTCATCCAAACAAAGCAACCTATTGGATACAAGCACATGGGATTCCCCTTGGTTTGATGACGGGGAGGAATGCTCGACTGATAGGAGAGAGTATTGGCTCTGTTATTGGAGTTGAGGACCCTGCCACCAATGGAACCAGGAGCTTTTTACGGATGAGAATCGAGATTGACTCGACAAAACCACTTCAGCTTGGTTTCTGGTTACCCAGAGCAAACGAAGAGCGAACTTGGATCAACCTGAAATACGAGGGACTGCGGCGTTTCTGCTTCCGCTGTGGCAGACTTGGCCATGCAAATCTCTTGGGTAAGCCATGTGTTCGTACTCTTGGCACTGTTGTTGCTCAGGAAGGGATGAAGTATGGAGCGGAGCTGGCGGTGAGAGCCACTAGGGGGCCCTCTCCACTCTTCCCTGTAAAACACTCTCGTAGCACACCATTTTCTCAGTTGGTAGAGATGGAAGTTCTGGGAAAGCGGAGGACTGTGGAAGATGCTCGTCACCGGCCGAACCCGATTCCCTGGCAGTCGGCTGTTCCTCTCCGACCCGTTGGGAGTGCACGCGCGGACAGACTCGACAATGCTGACCACTTGCATTCGGCTGGGGGACAACACGCTGATACGGTTCCCAATGGAGTGATGGGCTCACATCCTGTCGTGAAAGAATTTTTTTCAAATTCAATGGCCATTATCACGCATGCATGTTCCCCTAGTGCTTCAACTAAAGGACGAGTAGAGGAAGCTCTAGGCGTGCCAACTGAAACTAATACTGAGACCCTAAATGTTAATTTTTTATTGGGCCCTGCACTTTCCTTGGCTAGTGTCAGTAAAGACCCCACCCTTATTGGTGAGTCTGAGATTATTCATGCGGTTGTGGAAGATGTCGCACTCCACAAGACCTGAGGTCTAGCTGCTTCTACCTGGTTCGTGTATTTCCGGCTCAGTTTGCAATCTATCCCGTTTTGGTTTCTTTGAAACCAAACATTGACCAAAAAAAAAAAGAATGAAGAAATCCAATATCATTATACCCACCTCCCAAAACAAAATCCTTTCTTCCTTTTTTTAAAAAATTAAACAAGAAAAAACTATTCTAAAATATTACGAATAAGATAATGTTACACACTTAATAAATGCAATTAGGCAACGTGTATCTACAAGAGGAATCCACAACGAAAAGTATGGGTGAAAAAATGAGTTTCACGACAAACTGTAGCAATCAAATTCTGTAAAGAATTCAATCCCTCTTAAATTAGTGTTTAACAATATTTATTTTTCTTTAAAGAAGAAAAAAAGAGCCTGAAAGGCTGAAGGCTGAAGGCTAAACACTAAGCCACAAAAATCTATGTTAGACTAAGTAGATTGTACAAAGACAAATCTGTACCTCTTGAAGGAGGCAAAGAGCACCTGGCAACCAAGCACAAGGGATTCGTAGGGAAGATTTAGGTGGGATCTTTTCCTTAATATTACCAGCATATTCTGGTACAAAAAGAAGCTTATCTCTCACATCCATTAAAAGACCCTGCAAAGCAGCCCACCAGAGAAATAATTTAAAGATGAAATTAAACAACCTAGCAGAAAGCTCTTTCCACCTGGTATATCTACTACATATAATAATAAAAAAACTTTAAAGTCTCAACCTGGCGAGATGCAACAGCATCCATGGTGTAACCTTCTTCAATTTCAGCACTCTTCAAATCCATCACTGATTTAACAACCTCATCTTTTTCAGCTTGATCAGGAACGCCAATAAGCTGCAAATTCATTACGTTAGCATTAAGTTACTAAATGCAGAGTCAGACTAACAATAAAGTTCAGAAAATACGGACATGTTAGCGCAAGATTCACATAAACATCACACAAATTGTACAAACTAGACAAACTCTGAAAACGTGATTATGCCACTTCAAGTGTAAGGATGGCAGAGTGTGTTCAACAGTTGAAGCTCTTGAGGACAATGTTAAATATGGCACTAATGCAGATGATGTTACTAGCCCGCAGACTAAAGAGCGACTCAAGTGACTTGCAGGATCTGGAGCCAGAACAAAATGCAAAAGGAGGCGGAGGGAAAGCAATTTTATCCCCTTTCGATTTTCTCAGCTCCAAACCAGAATGAATACAAATTTAACAAATAATCAGGATTTAACAAACACGAAGCCCACCAAGATTACACATTACAAGTAGGAAGAGAAAGGATTTTTTTTTTTAAAAGAGAAAAATGAAGCAATGACCTGGTAACAGGTAATGGGAATTTCAACGGTGGTGCGAGGTGGAGCGGTCTCCACAATGTGGGTGTCAACTGCATTCACAGTCCAGCGACCGGTAATATTATTATTATCCTTCTTCCAGTAAACCCTAGAAACACCGATTTCATTATCACTTATTTCTCTGGAGAAACCCCAAATGCAGACCTTGTGATCTTCCTTGAGATTACTGATTCTGCAATGACAACAGGAAGACGAAATGCTTGGAAAGGCGTGAGACAAAGCAGCCATGACCACAGCCGGGCTGGGGTCTGGTAGTGAGGCAGCCGAAACTTGGAGAAATTGGCCGGGTTAGGGACTGAAAGAGTGCGGCCGGATTTGGAGTTGGTGAAGTCACGGCTGGGATTCCTCCATAACAAAACAGAAAGGGCAGAGATGGGATTTTCCATGTTTGTGCAGTTCCTTTACTTGAAGGTTAAACAACTCATTGGTTGCCATTTGAGAACTTATATCTTTTGTCATAGTTCATCCTTTAGAACACAAATCAGACCAACAAAAAAAGAAACGTACAAATGAGATAAGAATGTTGTGAGGAGAAATAAGATGAAAATATAAGGGCAGAATTATTATATTACACTCATGGAAATGAAGGATAGGATTACAAGCATGGGTAAAAGCTTCCCCAATTAAAAACAAAAAATCCACGCTACTGAGCTATTCAACAGAACCACAAGGCAAACAGGCAAAAGCCAATCATGCGTGCAGAACTCCCAACTTCACTAAGCAGTCGCAGGATCGTTTATCACACCCAAGAAATCATCCTTTATTGTACCAATGCAGAACTGCAAAACAGAGGGAGAACTAGTATCAGAAGCAAACAAAATGAATCCAAATTGCACTATGCTAGCCCTGCTGTACAAAAGAGCCTTTTGTCAGGCGGTTCTAAGAGACCAAGTGTGTCAAAAACTGACTATGGCAGCTAACCAGGATCAAACAAGTAAGAGATTCATGGAAATCCAGGATATGATCATCCCATCACTCCACCGTTCAGTTTGATTTAGTGTTGAAAATTCAAAACATGGCACTGATTAATTGAGGAACAATTAAAAGGACCATTCCTTGGATGACTTTACTCCCTTTTCCAAATCACATGGACAGCACAAGGAAAATGGAAACAACAAAGACAAATTAAAGAATCACTAAGTGAAAAGAAAACAGAGTGACTGCATACAATTTCTGTAGCATCTACTCGGGTTCCAATTATCTTTAACCGAACTTCGCTATCTTTCTGAATCTTAACCTACAAAATAACAAAAGATCAATTTAACCATATAAACTAAGCTAGAAATGAAACAACTACTCTTTAGAGAATCAGGTGAAACTGAAGCATACTGATCCATCTGATGTTGTATAATTTGGCATATCTCCAGATTGGAACTCCATATCATCCGGTATCAACTACAACACAAGATGAGGACGTTAACATATACTCTATATGTAAGATATAACCATTATGATATGATATTTGAATCCATGACTCAGAAGGTACAAGAGAGGAGCACTTCAAACTCCAAAAACCAGTAACCTATAGTATAAGTTAAAGAAGTTGAAAAAGTATAACTCTCATTGAACTTCAACTTACATAGAAATTTTCTCATATATATGACTAGTAGACTACTGCTTATATACAATTAGGATACAACATTGACTATGTTAGCAAAAGACAAAATAATGACTATGTTATAAAGAAAGATGCAACATTTACTAACCTAAAGGCCAAAAGTATATGATTCTTTAGAGGTGGCACTTTATTAAAAAAGTTGAGTAGAAATGGTTCTTTTCAAGGAAGGGGGGAAAATAGAAGGCAAAGAGAAACACACACAATAGCAACAATGCAACCCGCCTTAGTCCTTGCCAAACTTATAACTTCATACAATACAAAATTTGCTAACAAGATATGGATAAAAGCTTATCACTGCTCAGAATAAACAATGGCAGATACTTACATGGTTTGAAACAAAGATTTGAACGGGACCAGCCTCAGCAAAAAATCCCATCTATAAGAATTCAGATGCCATTACATATTTTCCGCATTTAGTATAAAGAATACAAGTGCTTGAAAAAACAAAGTAAGAATATTGATGCCATCACCTTGATAGGTAAAAGAGGAAATCATACCTTGTTCACCATAGTAACAACAGCTTCTAAGATCTCTCCTTTGAATGGTCTGAAAACAACACACTGGTACTTCACAGGGAATGTGACAAACCCTGTTCCATCGCGAATCAGCCCCTTCCCAATGTTTTCTATGCCCGTAATTGCAACCACAAACCCATGTTGACCACTGCACAAAAGATGAAAATATACCAACTGTTTTATCTATCCCATCATGTAGCAAAAACAGCGAAGAACATTTACCATATACTTGGTTTTTCAAAGCTAAAGCACTTGAAAGTTAAACTTGAGCAGAAGAACTTGGTGAAATTCAATTATAAAGTGACTAAAAATGGAATTTGACTAGTATTAATTATACAGAAGGAGTCATACTAATGCAAAATACATGACGTACTGGAGCTTATATTGGCTAAGGTACGAGCTTTCACAAAGACAAAACTGAACAAGAACCAGTGATGAGTGTCCCCCCTCAACAAACTCAATGTGATCTGGGATTTATCTATAAATTAATATTGGGTCAAACTTCAATGTATTTAACGTTAATGCATCTACATAAGGACTGACAAAATTCAGTTTTCGGTTTGTTTTTGTTTACCCAAGTTTAGAGCATAATCGAACAGATAAGGGGTTCCGTTCCTAAATAAGTATGTAGCAAATAAAGTGAAAAGAAGAAAGAGAATCGAAAGGTTTAAGCTTTCCTCATATTTAAATTTCGCAGGGCTACAAGGCAACCAAAAAAAAAGCAAAAGAAAATCACAAGGGTTATATTGTATTTAATAAGAAGAAGAAGAGGAGGGGGAACCTGCAAGTGCCTTCAACATCTTTCATGAGCTTGGCCACAAGATTTTCACGGAGATTACGACCAAAGTGACGAGGATGAAGCTGCATGTTTCTTTCCAACACTATATGGAAGAACATATTTAGGGCAGGAACGGATCGAAAACTAGTGTTCCGAATTCCAAACTTTCAATTCCAATCCGAAAAAATTCGGAATTTCAAATCTTATTACGATTCCAAAATTTCGGATATATCGGAAAAATAGGAACTTTTCGAAATACACTCGTAATCTGAATGCGCTCTAGCTTTTGCTGTGGGGTTTTAATGGAATTCCAGTTTCATACCAGAAAAAAATAATAATAATAAATAAAAACACTACTCCAAATTTATGCCTTCATGACTGAAAACACCCAAAAGTCGTTTTCTATATTTTCAGGATCTGTGTTTTCAGGCGAGCACCACACCCGCCACCCTATTGAACCACCACGTCAAACCCAATTGAACCAACACTGTCAAACCAAATAGAACCTCCACATTAAACACAATCGACCCCAATTGAAGTGGATGAAGATCTGCAACTTTGAAGGGGAAAATAGAGAAAGATCGGGAGGGAGAGAGAGCCAAGGATAGAGAACTAGAGAGAGAAAGAGTAAGAACCAGAGAACAGGAAGATAGAAAAACGGAGAGAAAAACAGAGGTGATTTGGGTGGGTTTTGGAGACACGGGAAAAGAGAAGGCGGGGGACGTAAGAAGAAAGAAGACAAAAACAAATATAAGAAAAGAAAATAAACGGCGGTGGAGATATAAAGAAATAGGGAATTAGGTTGGAGTTGGGATTTGGCATTTGGGCTGCTGCGAAATGGGCTGGGATAAAAGTAACTGGGCTGCTGGCATATTAAACCTTTTTGTTTTTCTGTTTTTGTTGGAAATGTTATATTAACCTTATCATGAATAAGAGTTGCACAATTAAAAATGTGTGACCCAACTAAAAATGTTATATAATTTTTAATATGTTCATATTAACTAACAATGAATGCACTTGTTTAAATTATGATTTTTTTTTTAATGTAACTTTTATTTATTAAATCTTATTTCATCTTTTAAAAAAATTTATGAACATTTTAAAGGAAATAGTAATATAGTAGATAGCACCATTACTTATAATTATATGTATATTTAATTTATATAGGGAGAGATAGTTTCTGTTTGATATATTTAGAGTTGTGTCAAGATTAAGTTTTGATTTTTGTTCTTCTTCTTTTGTTTTCTCAGGGGATTCTTTTGGCAGAGGAGTTGAAGGTTAGAAGCAGTTAGGTGAAGAAAATGCTTTCTTTGAGTTACTTCTATTTCAACTTTCTGTGAAATTCCTTTTTCTTTTGACTGAAAACGCTCTGACCTTCTAATGCAGATCTTCTAAGAAAGAAACAAATTGGATGATATTTAATCCAAGTTATACGATCTTTATATGTTGAATAAATTGTTTTAGTATTTGAACCCAAAGATTGTAATTGTGAACTTTTGTTCTTTATACTATCTATTCTATTTTGTTGTGCATAATGGATGAACCCAAAAATTTTCAGAGAGGAACAATTAAGAGATAAAGCTGTGAAGCATTTGATTGTAATGTTTTTTTTTAAGAAAAGCGATAATTTTCTTTTTTAGTTACACTATTAGAATTCTGAAACTTTAATTATTTACTTCAATTTGGGTAATTGTCATAATAGAATTTGATTGGTTGTATTTTGAGGTTCTCTCATTATTTGGTTGTTGTAGTTCATTTCAATTATTGTTTTTTTTTCTTTCTTGCTGTTCAAATTTGTAGATTGTGTAATTTTAAGATTTCTATTGCTTCTAATTTTTTCCATTTTTCCTATTTTAGGCGCATAAATTGCAAGGAAGGTTCACATCACTGCATTGGTTACTGAAAAGGAGTATGGATACATGTAAAAAAACAAATAAAGGAAATTTGTACTGGATAATTTGTCTTTGTGCCAAAATCATGAGTTGCTTGGGTGAAATACAAATCTGTTTTTATTATTTGATTGTGTCTTCTGAGGGGTGGTGTCATTCACTGTGAAAGGAAAATCTCTTTGAGAAACCAAAGTAATTTTATATTTATTCTTTTCTTTGAGTTTTAGAAAAATCTCTTTGAGAAACCAAGAACTATGCGCAGAGAGCTCAAAGCTATTGATTATCGATAGAAATACCTGAACAGGAAAATCCTTTTGAGGCCTCCGGGTTGACCAATCAATATTTTCCCAGTTCACAGTAGGAGGAAACATTTTGTAGTCCCTTTGCATAAAGAATCCCTGTTCCACTATAATAACTCAATTATTCTATCCATTGTAAGAGTCATATAATACAAGAACGATTAGTAAGATTAGTAAAAACCAACCTGACACTCATTTTCAATTATATTGATGGAACTCAGCCATTTAACAGAACGAGCACCTATAACACCAGGAACAATTACGCGCAGTGGATACCCGTGACCCCTGTTTAGAGGCTTTGGCATAGTAAGATTACGGGTGGCTTGATCGTTGCATGTCTTCCTCCTATGTGCATATTATGTAAATATTTATGTATATAATCTAAAACTACGATGTTGTGTAGAATGAAAATATTATTTTATTTAAATTATTTGAGATTTTCCTATTAATGTTGGATTTGCTTTGGATAATATTAACGTGTGGGTAATTAATTGAATACTAGCCTTAATGCATGCGCTTCCGCGCATGTGAGAGGCTTTTTTTTAATCATGCGCGCTACACGCGACTTATAAAGTATCGTAAATATTTTTTCGCAATTGTATTCATATAGATGTCCGTTTCAATAGTTTCATAAAAAATAAAAACAAAAAAAACTACTAAGATGGACTTCTAGAAAGATACGGGCGATAAAGGAAAACTTTTAAGACGACGATATATCACACGCGCGCGATTTAAATATGAAACTGTTGAAATCGACATGTATATAATTGCGAAAAAAATATTTACGATACAATCTGGTTGTTTTTTATTATTTGGCTTGTTTTATGTCTTTTGCCCCCACTTTACTTGAAGGTTAAACAACTCCTTGGTTGCCGTTTGAGAACTTATATCTTCTGTCATAGTTCATCCTTTAGAACACAAATCATACCAACAAAAAAAGAATCGTACAAATGAGATAAGAATGTTGTGAGGAGAAATAAGATGAAAATATAAGGACAGAATCATGGAAATGTAGGATAGGATTACAAGCATGTGTAAAAGCTTCCCTAGTTAAAAACAAAAAATCCACGCTACTGAGCTATTCAACTGAACCACAAGGGGCAAACAGGCAAAAGCCCATCATGCGTGCAGAACTCCCAACTACCCTAAGCAGTAGCAGGATCGTTTATCACACCCAAGAAATCATCCTTTATTGTACCAATGCAAAACTGCAAAACAGAGGGAGAACTAGTATCATAAGCAAACAAAATGAATCCAAATTGCACTATGCTAGCCCAGCTGTACAAAAGAGCCTTTTGTCAAGCGGTTCTAAGAGACCAAGTGTGTCAAAAACTGACTATGGCAGCTAACCAGGATCAAACAAATAAGAAATTCATGGAAATCCAGGATATGATCATCCCATCACTCCACCGTTCAGTTTGATTTAGTGTTGAAAATTCAAAACATGGCACTGATTAATTGAGGAACAATTAAAAGGACCATTCCTTGGATGACTTTACTCCCTTTTCCAAATCACATGGACAGCACAAGGAAAATGGAAACAACAAAGACAAATTAAAGAATCACTAAGTGAAAAGAAAACAGAGTGACTGCATACAATTTCTGTAGCATCTACTCGGGTTCCAATTATCTTTAACCGAACTTCGCTATCTTTCTTAATCTTAACCTACAAAATAACAAAAGATCAATTTAACCATATAAACTAAGCTAGAAAAGAAACAACTACTCTTTAGAGAATCAGGTGAAACTGAAGCATACTGATCCGTCTGATGTTGTATAATTTGGCATATCTCCATATTGGAACTCCATATCATCCGGTATCAACTACAACACAAGATGAGGACGTTAACATATACTCTATATGTAAGATATAACCATTATGATATGATATTTGAATCCATGACTCAGAAGGTACAAGAGAGGAGCACTTCAAACTCCAAAAACCAGTAGCCCATAGTATAAGTTAAAGAAGTTGAAAAAGTGTAACTCTCATTGAACTTCAACTTACATAGAAATTTTCTCATATATATGACTAGTAGACTACTGCTTATATACAATTAGGAAATAACATTGACTATGTTAGCAAAAGACAAAATTATGACTATGTTATAAAGAAAGATGCAACATTTACTAACCTAAAGGCCAAAAGTATATGATTCTTTAGAGGTGGCACTTTATTAAAAAAGTTGAGTAGAAATGGTTCTTTTGAAGGAAGGGGGGAAAATAAAAGGCAAAAAGTGTTTGTACAATATCTAGCCAAGCACTTCCAAGTCAATCTAAGCAAAGGGAATGGAGTCCCACATCAACAAAATACAAGAAGAGGGGACTCCTCCTCACTTATAAAAGGAGACCTCTCTCCTTCAAGAATAGGAGAGCTGGGTAGGCTACTGGGGCTCCATATGGCTCATTGGGCCACATGGGCTGATCCATGACCCATTTGCAGGCACACGGATGCTTGGCCTTCAGCCAGATCCTCAGCTTTCAACCTTCATCCTCCAGCTTTCCAAACCTTCAGCCTTCGGCATCCTTCCTCTCCTCTTTCCTCTTCTCTTTGGGTCTAACCCCATGTATAATGTATACACACATTATCATAATGAGAAGATACTTCTCCGTGGACGTAGCCCATTATTCAGGTGAACCACGTACATATGTTTTCTGCAAGCATATCTATTTGCCTACCGAATGCTCTCACATACTGAGGGTCCTCACCTTCAACATCCATCTCATCTTTAAGTTGGTCCTACAACTACCTGTCTAATTTTTGCGCTAATAGATTGGCGCCGTCTGTGGGAAACGACACAAGAGGCTATGTCGTTCTCCTTTTCGAGTGCCCCCGACCCCCTACATTCAGTCCTTTCGGCACCCCTACATCATTCGACGCGTGCGATGTCTTCACATCCCTTTAATGATTCGGCATCTGCCTTCGACACCTATACATCATTCGGCGCGTCCGATGTCTTCACATCCCCTTAATGATTCGGCATCTGCCTTTGGCACTCACACATCATTCTGTGCGTGCGATGTCTACACATCCTCCTAATGATTCGGCATCTGCCTTCGACACCCCTTGCATCATTCAGAGCGTGCGATGTCTTCACATCCCCCTAATGATTCGGCATCTGCCTTCGACACCCATACATCATTCGACGCGTGCGATGTCTTCACATTCCCCCAATGATTCGGCATCTGCCTTCGACACCCATACATCATTCGACACGTGCGATGTGTTCATATCCCCCTAATGATTTGGCATCTGCCTTCGGCACCCTTACATCATTCGATGCGTGCGATGTCTTCACATCCCCCCAATGATTCAGCATCTGCCTTCGACACCCATACATCATTCGACGTGTGCGATGTGTTCACATCCTCCTAATGATTCAGAATCTGCCTTCGACACCCCTTGCATCATATGGCACGTGTGATGTCTTCACATCCCCCTAATGATTCAGAATCTGCCTTCGGGACCCTTGCATCATACGGCGCGTTCGATGTCTTCACATCCCTCCAATGATTCGGCATCTACCTTCGGTGTCTGCCTTCGGCACCCTTGCCTCATTCGGCGCGTGGGAGGTCTTCACATTCCCTCATTGATTCAGCATCTGCCTTCGGAGTCTGCCTTCGGCACCTGATCGGTTCATAATTGTATATCATTTTGTACCCTTCTAGCTTATGATTTGGTTATGTTTTTGAGTTAAACTTGTGCTTTTAATCCTTTTTGTGTTTATCTTTCAGTTCATTGAGCTTTAGGTAATAATGATGGCTTTAGAGAGCATAATTCATGCAATTCAAGCATGTTAAGGCTTAATTTGGATGAATGGATGAAGAGCTTAAAGACAAACTCATTTTGGCTACAGCCCCCTGCCAGTCCAGTTCCGTAGGTCATATTGCAAGCTTTGTTTCA